TAAAATTAAAAAACAAATAAATACTAAAATCGAACACCCCCTACAACCCCTTCACTGCCCTACAACCCCAGCAACCCGCCGTGACACCCTTGACACTTTTGACAGGTTTCACACCCCTCCAGAGACCACCCAAAAAAAAAACCCTCACCCAGGCTATAAACCCCTCCCCTTCCCTCCTCTTGCCTCATTCCCCAACCCTCACGCCCCTCATTCCCCCCACGCCCCTCATTACCGTCACTAGCAGCCATGAGATATTCCTTGGGAGTGCAGGTCACGGGACGCCCCTCCGCCTCTGTGTTGATGTTCCGAGCGACGTCTTTCTCGAGGGCGGGCGGAGTGTCGTGCGCGGAGGCGGGTCGTGCGGGCGCTGGGATCTCGGGTTTTATCGCTTATGTTGTGTTGTTACTGTTGTTTTGTCTTATTATTGTTATATTATATCATTAATATTATATTTTATTGATACTGTTATATTTGTACTGTTATATTATATCATATCATTAATATTATATTTTATTGATAGGAGGCATTAATATTATATTTTATTGATAGGAGGCATTAATATTATATTTTATTGATTGGAGGCGGGTCGTGCGGGCGCTGGGATCTCGGGTTATAAAACGGTTATGTTGTGTTGTTACTGTTGTTTTGTCTTATTATTGTTATATTATATCATTAATATTATATTTTATTGATACTGTTATATTTTTACTGTTATATTATATCATATCTTTACTATTATATCGTATTACTACTGTTATATTGTTACTGTTATATTGTTACTGTTATATTATATTATATCATTATTATTGTATTATATTATGACTGTTATATTGTTACTCTTATATTGTTACTGTTATATTATATTATATCATTAATATTATATTTTATTGATACTGTTATATTGTTACTGTTATATTATATTATATCATTACTATTGTATTATATTATGACTGTTATATTGTTACTCTTATATTCTACTATATCATTAATATTATATTTTATTGATAGGAGGCATTAATATTATATTTTATTGATACTGTTATATTGTTACTGTTATATTATATTATATCATTACTATTGTATTATATTATGACTGTTATATTGTTACTCTTATATTATATTATATCATTAATATTATATTTTATTGATAGGAGGCATTAATATTATATTTTATTGATAGGAGGCATTAATATTATATTTTATTGATAGGAGGCATTAATATTATATTTTATTGATACTGTTATATTGTTACTGTTATATTATATTATATCATTAATATTATATTTTATTGATAGGAGGCATTAATATTATATTTTATTGATACTGTTATATTGTTACTGTTATATTATATTATATCATTAATATTATATTTTATTGATAGGAGGCATTAATATTATATTTTATTGATACTGTTATATTGTTACTGTTATATTATATTATATCATTAATATTATATTTTATTGATAGGAGGCATTAATATTATATTTTATTGATAGGAGGCATTAATATTATATTTTATTGATACTGTTATATTGTTACTGTTATATTATATTATATCATTAATATTATATTTTATTGATAGGAGGCATTAATATTATATTTTATTGATAGGAGGCATTAATATTATATTTTATTGATACTGTTATATTGTTACTGTTATATTATATTATATCATTACTATTGTATTATATTATGACTGTTATATTGTTACTCTTATATTATATTATATCATTAATATTATATTTTATTGATAGGAGGCATTAATATTATATTTTATTGATACTGTTATATTGTTACTGTTATATTATATTATATCATTAATATTATATTTTATTGATACTGTTATATTTGTACTGTTATATTATATTATATCATTAATATTATATTTTATTGATAGGAGGCATTAATATTATATTTTATTGATACTGTTATATTGTTACTGTTATATTATATTATATCATTAATATTATATTTTATTGATAGGAGGCATTAATATTATATTTTATTGATACTGTTATATTGTTACTGTTATATTATATTATATCATTAATATTATATTTTATTGATAGGAGGCATTAATATTATATTTTATTGATAGGAGGCATTAATATTATATTTTATTGATACTGTTATATTGTTACTGTTATATTATATTATATCATTAATATTATATTTTATTGATACTGTTATATTTTTACTGTTATATTATATCATATCTTTACTATTATATTTTATTGATACTGTTATATTGTTACTGTTATATTATATTATATCATTACTATTGTATTATATTGATAGGAGGCATTAATATTATATTTTATTGATAGGAGGCATTAATATTATATTTTATTGATACTGTTATATTGTTACTGTTATATTATATTATATCATTAATATTATATTTTATTGATAGGAGGCATTAATATTATATTTTATTGATAGGAGGCATTAATATTATATTTTATTGATACTGTTATATTGTTACTGTTATATTATATTATATCATTAATATTATATTTTATTGATAGGAGGCATTAATATTATATTTTATTGATAGGAGGCATTAATATTATATTTTATTGATACTGTTATATTGTTACTGTTATATTATATTATATCATTACTATTATATTTTATTGATACTGTTATATTGTTACTGTTATATTATATTATATCATTAATATTATATTTTATTGATAGGAGGCATTAATATTATATTTTATTGATAGGAGGCATTAATATTATATTTTATTGATACTGTTATATTGTTACTGTTATATTATATTATATCATTAATATTATATTTTATTGATAGGAGGCATTAATATTATATTTTATTGATACTGTTATATTTGTACTGTTATATATATATATATATATATATATATATATATATATATATATATATATATATATATTCTTTTTTTTTCTTCTTTCTTTCTTTTTTCTTTCTTTTTTTCTTTCTTTCTTTTTTTTTGTTCTCAAGGCGATGTTTGTAGATTTCCAGAATGGCCGATGATGGTCAAAACAAACAAATATGACAGGGACTAAGGGTCCACACAGTCTTATGATAAAGTATTGTGGCGAAAAGGGTAAAATGAAATGAGTTAACGATAGGATATGTGGATAGAAAGGATGGTGAAGAGAAGGAAAGGGAAACGATGATAAAAGACCAAGCAAAATTAATTGAGTCGAGAGTTTGGGGGTGATTAAAGGTCAAATAGCACTATGGTAAAGTACTCTGGCGAAAATGTGGGAAATTAGTTAACGATTAGGATAAGACGTGTTAAATGCCAGAGGTTGTAGAATGCTGTAGGATAGAATGGTATTAAAAGAAGAGACATCGAGAGGGAGCAAATGGAAAACGGTGGGGGATTTTTAAAAGGAGTTAAAGGTATAGGGCGATCAGATCAAATGGAGAGTATGTGTCTAAGGGAAAGGGGAGTGACATTGTATGAGGAAAACTACAATAGAGCCATTATGAAACGATCAAAGGGTAATACGGGTAGAAATGGTAGTTGTAGAAGAAGGAGAATAATCCAAAGAACGAGATAAGGGAACAGGAGAAGGTGGAGAAGTATCAGGGAGAATGTCAGGAAGGTTAGGGATCCGGAGAAGGACATTGTTGTGACATAAGGGAGTCCCGTGAGCATCCTTGTAGGAGTGGTAAGGATAATAGAGAAGGAAGAGGGAATAGTGACACACACGGAGGAGGAGAGGATGGGATGTTTTGAGGGGGAGAGTGAGAGGGGGAACTTGAGGGGGAGGAGGATGGATAGCGGCAAATACTTTGAACGTGAATAGGAACAGAGGGATTGGAGGGTGGATGAGGGAAGATGAGCATTCTCTTAGATCATGTTTAGGAAGTTTTGGAGGTCTTCAAGAGTTCCTGGAGGGGAACTGGGTGGGGAGATCTAAGAAACAAAGGGTTCTTGTGTGGAGGAGAAAGGGGATGTAGGTGGATGTAGGAGAAGATGGAGTGGAACGTTTGTGCCTGGTGCTACAAGTAGAGTGAGAAGAAGGAAGTGTAGGCACCGGGAAAGTATTAGAGATTGGAGTATTTGGAGTTAGAATGGAAAAGGAATATGACTATTGGAGAAAGGGCGTAGAGTTAGGATGGATCGATGTTGAGGAATATGATACTTGGGGAGATGCAGATACTTCTTGAGAAGATGGGAGGGGAGCAGAAGGAAGTACAGTTTTGGGGTTTTGTCTAGTCTCACGCAGAGTGAGGCCTAGTTTGAGTCTGATAACTGCCACTTCAGATTAGAGCTTGTAGGGAGGGCAGTTCCTGAAAAAATACACTGTGGAAGCCACCACAATTGGCCCACAATTGACTGAGCATAGCGATTTGAACGGTCATGGCCAGATTGGGCACATATAGAGCAGCGGGCTGTGAAACGACAGTTATTGGCTAGGAGGCCAAAACACCAACATTTTTGAAAATGACGGGGAAGAGGTTAATATGGTCGGACAGGGCAGATCAATCCACCAATATAAACTTAATGGGGGGTGGTCATGTCTACGGAAGCTAATCTCAGAATTATTGGTGTAGGACTTGCGTTGGCCTCAGGGAGGAACAGTGTAGCACTGGACTGCCACTGCATCAAAGTCAACGAGGCATGCGAGCAAGTCGTTTTTACGGTCTGACCAGTTCTTGTCGTAGACATGCCAATCAGTCGGGGAGACGGAAACAGTTCTGGTACAAGTATTAAGGGAGGAATGAGGTTGGGCAGGAATAGGCTTGCCAGTGAGGTCAGTCAGTGTAGTTAGTGCAGACACTTGGGACTCGGGTGTAACTGTGACAAGGCGTAAACGATAGGAACGACTGCGAAAGGAAACTGCCTACTTGTTTTTTTTTAGACGTTGCTGGAAGAGGAAGGTATTGTCAGAGTACGGAGCTGTAGGGGAACCACAGAAAAAGGTTTGTAGAGGTCGAAACAGTAGAAGGACAAGGGCGGGAGGAAGATGGGTAGTATGGAGAGAGGTAGTACTGTTTGGAGGAGGACAATAAGGATGAAGAATAGTAATAATTGGGGTGGGTTAGACAATGAAGTATATAGGTATCAGTGGTCAGCGCCATGGTCAAAGGAGAGACAGGGGTCAGGAAACCAATGAAATCAAATTAAGATAAGTTCGTTGCTGAAGGGTTAGTAAATGGGAAGAAGAAACAGTCTAGCTCTCAGGTTCTCCATAAGAGGTAAAGGCTAGGAGATTAACTAAGGAATACCCTTCATGACCGACACACAGCCATCCTTTAATCCTTTCAACACGGCCCTCACACCTTAGGACGTGGATAGAAGGGGATGAAGAAGTGAAGGAAAAGGAAAGGGAAAGACAAAAAGACCACAAAAAATCAGTTTAGGCGCGGGGTGAGTTCCTACACTGGGACCCAGTTTTCGTCTCCTAACCCCCCACAGTACCAACGTGCAAGGGATGAAGGGGGGGGGGGCTGGTTATCTATGATGTTGGTATACTATTGACACGTGTTTACAGTTTATCATTATGCTGAATAAGTTGAAAATTGGAAGTATTCAAATGCATCAAGCCTCTTTATGTACGAATCTTACACTTAATTCAGAATTTGGTTTAAGATTATGAAATCCAATAAAATTATAATAATTCATACATTCCATCCCTAACTTCAGGTTTTCAGTTGACAAATATGATATGTCTTTTATTCATTTTGGATGTATGCATTTAATGTATTGTAATTGGCTTAAGTACTTATCTTCTTTCATTTCAACAGTAACTCATTTAATGTACAATACTACCACATTACATGTCATAATATCAACAAAATCTGAGGATAATTCCATACACTTTCATATTACTGTTCATAAATTTTATTTCAAGTAAAAGCTAAATCATAGTCAAAATATGGAGAAATAAAATCACATCTCCATGAAGAGGAGTATTCATAATCTCAATATAATATTCTTCTGTACACATATTTCCCATTTAAATAATATAAGATTTCTTCTAAAACTTCAACTGGTCAGCTTTGGCCCTTTCAAGGCATCTTCTTGGCACCGTTAGACCTTCGACATCATGTGTTTACCTGTTCAAATTAATATTGTAATTAGAATGTATTGCTATGGTATTTTTTTTTAGTATTTCTTGTAAGACTCAAAGCAGAATTAACATTTTTGGCTCTATAACCTGGAATCAAAGGGGGCTTAAGAAGGTAGCAGCATTTTAAAAAGAAAAATGAAAATGCCACTAAAATTTTATTTACAACTTTACAATCATAAAAAAGCTAAGAAAAATGGAAGTCACATCAAGCCATTAATCTCTACAGACCTACAAAGGAAATGGTTGTAAGTGCATTGAACTGACTTCTAGTACATTCACAGACAAAGGTCCTGAATGAGGCTTCTAAATCCTTCAAACCAAACTAAGAAGGCTCACATTACCTAGCTCTTCAAAACAGAATTTGAAGTATCTACATGAATCTGAATGTAGTTTCTCCCTCAAGGTTGATTCTCAGTGTTATGTACAGGAAGGTGGTGGGTTATGGCTTGTCAGACAGGGAATGTACAAAGTCTCTAACACTTTTAATTCATGTCTGACCAGTTTTATGTACACAGACGTTTATCTTCTCATGAGCTGTTAACTTTTTAAATTCAACTATTCTGTGCTTCTCTCAACTCCTAACTCCTTGCTTTTTACATACTCATCTGTTTATTTGATTGCTAGTCTGTATATTTTCCAAAAGACTACCTGTATGATTTTCTGTCTCTCTACCTTTACCTGCCTGCTACCCCCAACTGCGAACTGTCATTAAGCTTATAACGAATGTCTGATTGTTATCACAATGAAATTCCATCTTTCAAACTACCACTTTGTCATACACAGGTATACTCTATTTCCAGTCTTATCCAGTACTGATTTTGAAGAAATATACTGCCAGGAGACACCAGACATGGTAACATTAAAATCACATTGAAAAGACACATTTCTGCATAAGCCAAAAATTATGACAAGTGATAAAATCTCAGGCCATGTTCAATAAAATTCCCCCATAACACCGTAAAAGCCATTTTCCCTTCATGTGATATCTGCTCCATTTGATCATAACATCTCCCCTTCCAACCCAGGCCTCATAGTTCTTTCAACTTGCAATATTTCTGAATAAAATAGCTTTTAAAATCTTATAAGCAGATGAATTATAAACAGTAATTTTTCTGTGTCTTGAAAACCGGAATTCCCCACTGGTTTGATATGGATATTCTTATATGCTTTTATATTAGGCCCTAATTGATGGAACTATAACTATATTTCTTTTATTCATTTCAGTTTTACAACTTAACCCAATGTCAGCAGGCTTATTTACTGTCCCCTTTAGATTTTAGTGAATTTTGTTACATACAGACGGCTCCACGTGTGCTAAGCAGCAAGGAGTCTATCAGTTGGCCCTAGTGACCGATCCTGATTTCCTTATTCCTTGAATTGGCAGGGAATTTTTTTTTTTTCTAATACTATCAATATTGACATTGTTATCATTCTTATTGATATTATGATGGTTAAATTGTTATCAGAAATATCAATAACATCAAAGACAATAAAATAATAGATAGCTTTCAAAAAATCAAGGAAAAGGGTAAACAGGTGAGACAGGCAAGACTAATAGCTGACTCCTCAGTAACCAAACACTTGCAGAGCCATCTATGTGTAAAGACAATAGGTAAACTTTTATTACAGTAGGCAATGGCACTGTAGTCTTGCCACCTGTGCTCATTGGGTTAACAGCAAGGGAAGGAAAGAAAGACAATATATATATATTTTTTTTGTGCACCTTTCTTTACAATCACACTTATATTTACTGAGGACTTTCTTTACCCAGACATAATCATTAACATAAATAATGCTACAATTAATATTCTAAATAAACAAGATGGCTACCATTTTTCTCTCCAAAACACAGAAATAAAGTATAAAAAAGTGTTAGTCTAAGGCCTAAAAAAGACTTATTAATGACATCAATACGATACAAATAAATCTACTACTCTGTTAAAATAAAACTGTACAGTGGAGATACTAAGCAAAATAAATTAAGAGAACTATAGTACAATAATTACAGATATTCTTAAACCTTATGCATACTTGTGACTACTGTATGAGTAATACTTATGTATATGTTGGTAAACTTGTTTGTGAAAGGAACCACAATGTGTCTATATAACAAGATTCTACGTACTACAAGATATTAGTTTACGAAGGAATTTCCCTTACCTGTGGATCTCATATATTCTAGTAAATCTTCTGTTTTTGCTTATTATGCTAAACAATTTGCAAGTGCGTTGACCAAAGCATTTCATTCAATTACAGTTCCGATGTTAGTAAGGCAAAGGAAGTATATTTCTGTGATGCATTAAGTCCAATTCACAATAATTTCAGTTTGAAATACCAAATACCTTTACTTTGGGGTAAAATTTGACATTCTCAATAGCAGCTGCCATGAAAGCATCCTAGGCTTTTCTTAAGTCTACATAACAAAATAGGTTCTCACAAATTTCAAATCAAATATTCCCACAGCCTTTTTTTTTTGTATTATTCACATTCAGTGTTAGTTTCAATACAAGGCCACTTTACAATGCACTAGAACAAGAGGAGGCATGCTAACATTTACTAACATACTGGACAACAGCAGCTGCAATAGCCTTGGCAGATTCTATACAGCCATCCATGTTGGAATGAGTGAATCCATCTCCTCCTACTACTAGGCCATCAGAGAGCGTTACACATCCAGGGAGGCCAGGATATGCGGAAGAAACCTTGAAGAAAAAATAAGGGGAAAAAATATTTAACAAGCTATGTCAATGTAAATACTTCCTGAATAAA